GAAGGTATTTCTATAACCACTGCTAATCATCAGTTACTGAAAAAAGTTGCGCGAAGGATATGCCCTGGTCGACACCTGGCATTTTCATCGGTTTGGATAGCTCTTGTATCCATCCTTTCAGTATTCGACATCGTCAAAGCAAAAGATGAGAATGGTAATGTCATTGAACCAGTCATCGAATGTCCTCCATCTCTTCTTCTGTACGTCCTCACTATTAAGCATGAGATTACGAGCATTGATCAGAAATGTGATGTAGTTCACCTCTGCCATTTAAATGCGAATTCAGGCCATGTTCTAAGGAAGCAGAAGCTATGATCCGTTCCGTTATCGACGATTTGTAAGATGAAATTTGTCCCCCAGAATATTAGCAATGCAGTCTCCATTTTGTGCTAACGATTCTACCTTTTATGAAAAACTCTCCTGCTATCGACGTATTATATATGTTGGCTATACATGCCTAATATTTTTCTCGCACTGATATTTGATTTAGAACCGGTTCGGATCTTGTACATGGTGTGTACCCGTTTGGGTGGGACGATACCGTGGCTTGTCCTATCTTTTGCCATATGCAACTTGAGTCTTGCACGCAACTCCAACACAACTTTGACTTCAAGTTTCGATCCTTCAATTTCGACGATTCTACTCCTCTGTGCTTCTAAACCCATCTCCTTCCACATACATGACCAATTGATGTCTTTCTCATGAAGCGGCACATGGAGTAACACATTTTGCATATTCGCATCGCCACCTCCTATTAGAAGTCATGAACGCCGATAGAAATATATTGATCGCTTCCACGTGCACGTGCCCAATCCTTCAGAATAACGGTTTTGTTATCCCTCGCAAAAGTATCTTGCAGCTTGAATGAGTGTCACTTGAACATCACTTGAACGATCTTCGTGCACTGGCAGCTTCAATCCTTTAAACAAGTTTTCCATCAAGGTGTTGCCTTCATTCGATATAATATCCGAAGTCGTATGTACACGATGAGTGAGCTTGTTACAGCATCATTTATTTTATATATCTCCCTGTTACTCTCTATGGTCCTAAAATGCGCCGACTTATACGGTCTTTTTTACCACTCCCACATAGACCAAGAAGCTTCCTCTGATTGGGAACCTGTTCCACCAGCGATATATGGGGACTTACCATGGCCCGTCGACAAAGTAAGAATGCCCATGGTCAATGAGCTTGTAATGGAGCTTCAATTTCGCTTTCATGGATTACGACAAGAATAGTATTTCTATTATATACATAAGGTGATCGCATCTAACAAGTCCATTTCAAGGAGGTGGCCATGGTATAGCAACATACACCCATCAACTCCAAACACCTAGGGACTCAATTATGCGATCTCAGACAGTCCGCCACTACATCCGTGTATAACAGGAAGTATGTACCTGCTGCCAGTAGAGCGTTACTTCTTCGCATCTAAGGACGCTAATATCATTCGCTGTGGGCTGTAGGGCAGCCACTCAGAAGGTATCCTTTCATTTGACCAAACTGCGAATACACTCTATTTAATTACATATTTACAGGTGTTACTGGACTGTCCAGACTCCAGGGTTGTCTTTGGGTTGCCTGCTACATTTTTTTATGCTTAAAAATAACGTTCGCTGCAGAACCTCACAGATTCTATTCAAAATTTGTGCGACAAATGTTCTGTGATGATAGCTAATTCTCTTGTCACCACTCCTGGCTTCATTCAGTTGCAGTGTTATAAAGCTTATTTCGCATTTCTTTATCAGTGGTTCAGGACTCGTAGACGGTTCATCACCACCATGACATCGTTACAGTATTCGTAGCCCGGGAAAAATGCTATTTACCGAAATGAATTGCTACTGATATTGAATCTACTATGTACTAGTACTAGATGATTGAAATTTGTAGTACATTTTTCGGTGCTATTCAGTTGTAGTAAAGGGTCCTTCATCCGAATCGGTCTAATAGAATTCGGAGATGTCCATCATTAGGGTGTGTGAATTTCCAACGTCAAAAACAGTAGCCTCTCATTTTTCGGTGGGGAACGAAGGTACCCGCTCGATCGCTTACAAACGGAAGCAACCACATTCGCGGCACCATCTTCTGTGGGTGCCTTTGATGCAACTTCGCCTGTCAGTGCTAACCCTGTTCAGGTTTTTAGTGGCAATTTTTTTCAATGATATCTCTTGGTATTTATGCTGATTGGAACTAGTAGATTCTTACGAGAACTGCCCTGCGATCGAACTTGTCTTTTTTTCTCTGTCAGGGTTCTTCGAAAATTATGCATCCGCAGAACATATAAAGGGCTTTTCGCGAGCCTATGACCCACTGTCGACGGACTCCACAAGGACCTACTTGGACCTACCACTCACCATGATTCAGCTCGACCTTTTGGCGAGTGTTGTTGCGTTTACCCTCGCACTCTACTTCTATCTCAATAAGAAGAAGAGTAATCCTCTCGATGCCTATCCCCTGCCCCCGGGGCCCAAAAAGCTTCCCATTCTTGGGAACCTTCTGGATATGCCGCAGAAGGAGAGCTGGAAGACGTATGATAAATGGTGCAGGGAGCTAGGTATTTCATTACTTATCCATTTATCTTCGATCCGACTGAAATTATTCCTTAGGAACTGATATTCTCCATCTTGACGTCGCTGGTACTTCCATTGTCGTGCTCAACACCTTCGAAGCCGCTTGGGAGCTACTCGAGAAGAGGTCCTCTTTATATTCTGGCAGGTAAGTTAATTACCTCTGCATTGTATCTCCTCTCACCTATTTATAGGCCGAGAATGCCTATGCTCAACGAGCTGATGGGTTGGGATTTCGATTTTGGATTCATGGATTATGGTGAATTTTATACGTGTATTTCCTACGCACCTTTACTAACAGATTTCTAGGTGACCGCTGGCGTCAGCATCGTAAACTCATGCACCAGGCTTTCCACCCTTCCGCTGCTGAGCAGTTCCGTCCACACGAAATGAAGTCCGCACGTCGATTGATGCGTCGTCTGTACACAAAATCTGAGGACATCATTGGTAACCTTCGAACGTAAGTCTTCGCTGTACCTTGTTAAATTGAACGACTAATAACTCTATCCTAGTCTCTCTGGTGAGACCGTCATCTCAATTGCTTATGGTATCGACGTCGAAGGGCGCGATGACCCCTATATCAAGATGGCAGAGGCCGGTGTACGCCCTCTTTCGAACGTTGTTCCCGGACGCTACCTCGTCGATACCATGCCCTGGTTGAAGTATGTCCCTGCCTGGATGCCTGGTGCTGGTTTCAAACGCGATGCTATCGAATGGAAGAGGCTAATCACCGAAATGATCGAGGCTCCGTATGCCGCGATGAAGAAGAACTTTGTAAGTACTCAGCCGCTTCTCTTCTATAGCATAAACTAAATGCTCTGATTTTTAGGACAACGGTGTTGCTAAAGCTTCGTTCTCTCTCTACAGCTTTGGAAAGATGGCTGACGGTTACGATCCTGCCTACGAGGAGGATAACATTAAATGCGTTGCCGCGACTATGTACGCCGCTGGATCTGATACCGTATGTCGCCCTTGAATATTGTCTTCTCCACTTATTCTAACGTTAAATATTTATAGACAATCTCTGCTATTGCCTCCTGCATCCTTGGATTATTGGAACATCCCGAAGTCGTGAAGAAGGCTCAAGCGGAACTCGACGCTGTCGTTGGCAATGACCGCCTCCCAGATTTCCAGGACGAGAAAGACACTCCTTACATTCATGCTATTGTCAAAGAAGCTCTTCGCTGGAGAGACGTCGTACCTATCGGTAAGTAGTAATTTTTTCTTAAACGAATTTCAATTAATGAACATTCTCTCCCTAGCTATCCCTCACTATGTCGAAGTCGACGATATTTACAATGGCTACAGAATTCCTGCTGGTACAACCATCGTCCCTAACGGCTGGTACGTCTCTCCTCTTTTGCCTTTCAACATTCCTCCATGTATTCGGGTTGCCGCTAATCTCCGAACGATTGATCTCCGTGCAGGGCCATGCTCCACAACGAAGAAATCTATCCAGAGCCTTTCGAGTTCAACCCCGATCGTTACATGAAGGACGGCAAGCTGAACCCTGCAGTTCGGGACCCTGGCCATGCCGCGTTTGGATTTGGACGTAGAATCTGTCCTGGACGATACATGGCTACTTCAGCCATTTGGATCACGCTTTCTTCACTACTTGCTGTGTTTGATATCGAGAAGCCTTTGGATAAGGATGGGAAGGTTATTGAGCCTTCGCATGAGTACTATGATGGTTTGATCACGTATGTTCTTGTCACCGAGTTTGGGTTTATAAAGGATGATGCTGATTAAGTGAATAGGTTTCCTCTCCCATTTCAAGTTTCGTTCAAACCGAGATCGAAGAAGGCCGGGGAACTCATCAGAGCTTCTGCGAATGATATGTACGTGCCTTCTATTTTCCGTTCGATCGCTGAAATATTCATATTACGCTTCAGCTACGAGTAAAGGTTTCTTGCCTCGAGGCATTATGTGCTACGTGCTTCCATATAATTGGAACATATCGAGCACCTGCTGAGCACTTGTCATTGGATCATTTTCCATGTCGCTGTCACCGGAGTCCGCGTACTATCTGTACATAACAGCATTAGCCTTCGCCACTGTTCGTTCCTAATGAAACGAACAAGCTCAGGGTCTAACTACCCACAATCCTTTAATTAGCATCATCTCCAATTTTTGTCGCATCGTTATAGTTTCTAAATACACATGGACCTCAAATATTACCTGAGTTCTTGTATTCCCGAAAATCAACGCCGATTGTATTTTAAAATTGGGGTACATTCCATATTGTGAATCACACTAGTCTTCTCTTCAGGCTGTAAGTACATTAGGTTACCTCAAAGTGGCGTTATTTGCGTTCATTCGGAAAGTATGGAAAGCAATATGTTATGGAGCTCATGTCCGCCACTTCCTTGCATTCCATGGTAATAAAATATATTCCCGGTAGTAAATTATAGCTTGTGTTCTTTACCAAAAGAATGGCAGCACCGTGGCTCGAACACGGGACCTTCAGAATACCTCAGAAAGGCTTCAGTCTGCTGCTCTCCCAGCTGAGCTATGCCGCCGATGAATTTGAGTATGGTAAATTTACTACATTAAGCCTATATTCGACTTTTGAGTTCAATAGAGATAGCAGCAATTATGCTACATCTCCTTCCTTTGCCGTCGTTTGGTTGTTCTGGGGCATAGCCTATGTCTGTAGAAAGCAGGTGGACATCAGAGGCGGGCTTGGACCTGCCTTTGTTTGTTAGTATGTGGCAACGGCCTTCATTCCATTTATACCCACCCATGCTGATGGTACGGCGATGAATTTGGACGTTTCTCCTCATGAAACGTTCAACTCATTTTTTCCTTTTAGATCTTATACAGCTTACTACACATATTATCCTGCCTAACTATTTTTTCTCTCTTGCAAATGCTCTTACTATCGGAATTGGTTCCCTATAACAGCTGTGCGCTTAAAATTCAACAGTCGCTGTTTACAAGGAATTAGAGCATAAATCTCTAGTTCTCTCTTTAAATATTACTAACTTATGGTCATTGCAGAGAGATCAGAATCTCTCATATATTCTTATCCTCAGAACGGTTCTAGAGTCGTAACCTGGGAGCGGCGCAGTCTAATAATGATCAAGTGCGTCATACAGTGGGGTAATAGACTTCTGGACGACTGACGTCAAGTCCCACTCCTCGTGATGGTAGAGACGTTCCCTTCCACCTCTATAAATCATCTAGTAACTTTCTTAGGGACCACTATAACCCGTCCTCGACATTATAAATAATGTCAGAACCCAACAACCCCGGCGTGCCTTCAGGCGGCAAAGATAACGAGCGCGAAGTGACCGACCCAGTCACTCATCTCCCGCTTACAATACACGATGTCACGGACGTTGAGCTCGAGCAGATACCACCTCCAGACGAGCTAGAGTTCGGGTCGATTACGGAGAAGAAACCCAAGAAGCAGGATGAGCAGAAAATGAAAGAGGAGTCGAATCAGCGGCATGTGGGCGTTGAGAAGACGTTGCATGACGTGACGCATCGGGGGTGGTGGCGAGACCCAGCAGGAGACCAGGATAGAGCAAGGATACAGACTGCATTCGTCGCTGCCGGTGCTTCGGGGGTAGGTGCGTTTGGCGCATGGGTGGTTTGGTGGTTAGCGGAGAAGTTGACAGGCGGAAGACGGGGAAACGGAAGCACCACGCTTTGGACGCTGCTGGATATCTTCTTAGTGCCTTTTGGATGTTCAGTTCTTGCTATATGTGTCGGTATGGCCGCTCTCTCGTTCAAACTCGTTCAACCCGAAGCAAAAACGCAAGAAGGCGAGGACCGTAAACGCGCAGACCACGCCCCCAAGGTGTGTATTGTCTCCTTCTATTTGTTGTATTCTCCTCACAACTTCCCAGTCCAAGAAACCGCAAGACGAACAATCCTCTCCCGAATCCGCCCAATGGCTCAACGCACTACTAACCTCCCTCTGGCCAACAGTCAACCCCGCCTTATTCACTTCCATTTCCGACATGCTTGAAGACGCGCTCCAATCAACCCTCCCAAAAGCCGTCAATGGCGTGCGTGTTGCAGACATCGGGCAAGGGTCTCTCCCCGTGCGCGTCCTTGGTGTGCGATGGCTCGCCCCCGGTCTTGGCGGGGAGGACAGAGATGGGATGCAAGGCGAAGAAGGCGACTTTGTCAACCTCGAGATCGCATTGGGGTACCGCGCACGCACTGGTGGGACAGCCAAGGGCCTGCGCGGGCGTTCGGGTAACGCGCATCTCCTCATGGAATTCTATGCCGCTGGAGGGATTGTGCTCCCTGTGTGGGTGGAACTTACTGGGTTCTTATGCACTATGCGCACGCGTATCCAGCTCACGCCGAACCCGCCGTTCCTCTCGTTAATGACGCTCACCCTCCTTGGGCAGCCCAAGGTCACGATGAACTGTACCCCACTCGCGAAAAACTTCTTGAATGTGATGGATCTCCCTGTGCTCTCTGGATGGCTGCAGAGCGCGGTGGACGCGGCGGTGGCGGAGTACGTCGCGCCGAGGAGTATGAATTTAGATTTAAAGGCCATCCTGATGGGAGAGGAGAAGAGAGACACGGATGCGTGGGGAGTGGTTATCCTTACTGTGCGCAGGGCAACTGACTTTAGGATGGGCGATGGAGGAAAGATCTGGAAGGTTAGCGAGGGTGCGAAAATGGGTGATACATATGTCACAGCAGGATGGAGCAAGTGGGGGAAGCCGCTTTGGAGTACAAGGTTTGTGGATTCCTTGTTTTGATGAATGCAGACTAATGTTTGGAATTCTCTTAGGATCATCCAGAAAGATGGAAAGCCCGTTTGGGAGGAAACCACTGCCTTGCTCGTCGGTCCTGCTGAAGTGCACGCCAAGGAATCAGTTCGTCTTCAACTCTGGGATTCTGGTATGTACACATCGACCATCATAAATTTCGTTACCAACAATTCTTGTGCAGATCGCTTCACAGCGGATGACTTGCTTGGAAATATCGATCTCTCCCTCAAAGAGCTTCTCACCTCTGCAGAGTTCAAAAATACCATCGCTACCCGTACAGACGACTTATTCTCCGACACTGGCAAAAAGCTTCCAGGCTCCCTGGAATGGGAAGTCGGATACTTTGCCAAAACAACTCTCGAGCAACACCTCAAAGATAAAAAAGAGGATCCAGAAGAGCTGAAGCAGAAAATCAGCAAAGAAGCTGAGGAGAAATTGCGCGAAGCAAAGACTCCTGGTTCTCAAGAGAGCGATGAAGAGATCCAGCAGCAGAAGAAGGAGGATCTAAAGGAGAAGACGGACGAGATCATCACCAGCTCACCACCAGTGGCGGAGTGGCCTAGCGGCATCCTCAGCGTGCGGATTGAACAGATCAGCGGACTGGAGGTGGAGAGGATCCGGGAGAGCGGTGTGAAAGGCGGGCAGCTGGGCGAGGAGATGGAAGGTCAAGAGGAGGATAGTGATGATGGCGATCTGCCTAGTGCATATTGCACGATTGTGATCAATCACCAGAGGGTGTACAAGACAAGGACGAAAATGAAGAGTGGGGATCCATATGTAAGCTTTTTCTCACTTATCATTTCGATGAGAGCAGACTAATCGAGGTTATATGACTAGTTCGACGCAGGCACCGAGAAATTCATCCGCGACTGGCGTACCACCACCGTTATCATCTCTGTTCGGGACTCTCGATTGCACGAGGCCAACCCCCTCCTCGGCGTAGTCGTTCTCCCACTCACCAGTCTCTTCAAGCATGCCTCCCAATTCTCCGGCTCCCTCCCTCTCGTTGGCGGTATCGGGTACGGGCGCATGCGTCTCTCCCTTACCTTCCGCAGTGTCCAAGCCAAGCTCCCTAAACGTCTCCTCGGATGGGATAACTGCACCGTTGAAATCACTGGCGCGAAAGCAGACAACCTTCCTCAAGAACTTCGATCATGCAGGCTCGTTTGGCGGACCAATAATGGTAAGGGGAGGATGGTGCCTTATGACGGAGACGAAAGTGGTCCCCGCTGGCACGGAAAGGGAGAGCGTCCGGCGTGCCTGCCTGTTACGAAGCGTTATGCAGAGTGTCTCACCGTGCAAATGCGCAAGCGTGTTGTGGGTCCCGACCATACGCCTGCGTATGCTACGATATGGTTGAAGGATATCCCCGATGACGAGGAGCTTAATCTCACTGTTCCTCTCTGGCGGAATAAGAAGGATGATGGTGGAATCACCAGAGCACAAGCGAACGCAATTGGCGACGAGGAAGAACTGGAGGGTGAAGGCGGCGAGCAGGTTGGCACGCTTGACATTACGCTTCGCATCCATCCCGGGCTGAGCGGATATCACAAGAAGATGGCATCACACGACAAGGGGATGGCAGACGTGATGGAGGTGTTGGACTGCGCTCAAGCAGCGCAGGAGGGCAAGTCGGGCATCGTCGGTGTGGATCTGGGAGGAGATTCAGCGTCCTCTTCGGATTCATCCACTGATACCGAGGCGGATGATGGGGAGGGAGCTGAGGTTAAAAAGTTGACCTTTAAGGAGGAAGTCAAAGGATACAAGAAACGCAAAGGGGAGCTGCATAGGAAACATCGTGGTCTGATGCAATGGAGTGGTATGAGGAATATCGCGCACCTTGGCCAGGGTGTGGAGCACAAAGCTGAACAACTTGGTGACAAGCTCAAGGGTACTTTCAAGCACGAGGAAAGGCAGACAGGAATCGAGAAGGAGGCTTAAGACTGGACAACGGACCTCATAGGACTGTATATCTATTACCGTCGGACTTTCAGCCCGGTACTCTAATTCTAGCTTTCGATGCTTGTATGTATAACCTTATCACGAATATTGATAATGTCTTCATTAATATTTACATGTACGGCCTTGAAGAATAGCTTTACTGATCATTGTTGGAAGATGTCAGCCGAATCATGTCCACGGAAGCGTTGGATCTCGGTATGAAGGAGCACTTGAACGGTAGTGGTGCGCTTTTCGAAGCGAAATTAAAACACTAACGTGGTAGGTAAAGAATAATGTAGTACTCACGCAACCAAACCGGATTCGTATTCATGCGAAGGTTCAATAATGTTGCCATCCTTGTCGACTGCCTTGGTAAGGTTGAATGTTGCAACTAGTGATGCAACCCCAATCCATAAAGTCTCCAAGGCGAGATACCGTCCAGGGCAGATTCTAACAGCATCAATAAAGAATGTAACTTGTCAACGGCGGGAGCAGAGCATACCTTCGTCCGAACCCCCAGGTAGCATGCCCGGGATCTTTGACTGCACGATTGAGCTTCCCATCTTTCATAAAACGATCAGGATTGAAGGAAGTGGGATCTGAGTATGTGCTGTCGTCTTGAAGCATAGCCCTTGAAGAAAGAACGTGTTGGTTGGCTATTATTATATCGAACCAAGATTCACAAACCATGCATTGGCAATAACGATTGAATCCTTGGGAATCCTGTACCCATTGTACTCGTCTTCAGCTTGCGCCATGTGCGGAACTTAACGTCGCCTTAAGATCATACCCTCGAATGAAGATGAAGAGAGGAAGCTCACCGAGAGGTACAATAACGC